ATTCTTATAAATTTATTAAAAAAATAAATTAAAAATAAAATAAAAATGGGTTGGCATATTAATCCATTTAACCTACCAACCCTCAAGAATTAGATTAGGTTAGGATTTTTTCAAGTCATATTAAAATAAGTTGAACCTAACTTAACTCATATTTTTCTAACTCATATGGGCCAACTTATGGTTAGAATTAACCATATTCCCAACTCTAATTTCAAAAATTTATAAAAAAAAAACATAAGTTTGCAAAACAATGGAAAATATGATTGGCTCCCTTTGGATAGGCTTGGGCCTCTTATTGGCTGGCCTTGTCTCTCTATTCAAATGTTGCGCCCAATCCCATCTTCTTCTTGATATATGAACTTATAACATGTGACCCAATATGTTGTAAAAGATAATTAATTAAATATTCCTCAACTAGTTTATGTTGTGAGATGAACCTTGATCCTCTTATGATTTAGTAAGAAAGATAAAATAAAATCAAGAAATTTTAGAACCTAACTGTTCTTTCAAATTTAGAGGTTTGCATAAAGCCTCAAAAAAATGCCTCAAGGTGAATCTCAAATTATAGTTTGATATACAAATCATCTACAATTTAGGTAATTATGCAAGTCTAATAATGCTATATTTTTCATTAGGTACAAATAATGAGTTTGGGATTGAGCTTGATACCAATTGGCTAAAAGTAATTAAATAAGAAATCACACACAAGACTAAATTAAAATTCACTTTACAACAAATAGACATATAATTATGTTGGAAAATAAGGACATAGGCTATATTCAATGAGCTAAGAAACGACTTAAAAGTATAGGATGCTATACTCAAGAATTATGTTAATCAATTAAGTTTTAGATTCTAAGAAACAAATAATTTTTTGCGGCTTGCAAACTGAAAAATCATAATTAAAGAAGATAAAGTTCATTCAAACTAAGTGATTTCCTCTCAATTATCAGCTTCACATTCTCATATTTTCTATCACCATTAATATGATTTATTTTATTCACCTTATTTGAAGAATTGATATATGAAAAACTTGTGAGACCCAACCTCCCTCCTCCCACCCCTATTAAATTGGACTCTCTAGATTTAATTTGAATAGTCCAAATTAAATATATTTATTTTGATTTTAATTTTATATTTATTAAAATAAAAAATTATAAACTTTTAATTAAATCTTATAAGTAGTCTATAAGTAGTCAAGACATATTATATTTAATATGGATGATAATAGTAGTTCTAATAATGATTTAATTATATTAAGTTTAAAATATCATGACAATGTTTATTTATAAGATGAAATGTGTAGATAAATACACAATTAGGTTATAAGTAAGAGAAAATGGGACAGAGAGAATCATGCACAACAAGAATTATCCCGGTTTGGTCCAAGACCTACATCTAGTCCTCTTGAGAAACACTTAAGAGATTTTCTCACTATAAAAATCCAATTACAATCCCTATAAGTTATATATCGATCTCACTCACAACTCTAACAAAGGTTTTTATAGAACTCACCTAAAATTAGCATACATGCTTTTACCCAACATAACCAAAACAAATAAAAAAATGTAAACTGTAGTTCACTAGAAATTGCTCTTGAAAAAGCTAGATAGCAAAAACATTTTAAGTACCCAAATACTCAAATTCCAACAATGATATTTAGGAATTACACAATTAAGCTCGGATAAATAACAATATGCTTGCATCTTCAAATTTAATCCTTCATCTTTTCGTAAATCATTCATCAATTGTCATTTTTCTTTTTGTACTTTGTCATGATTAACTTTCCTTCTTTTCTTGGTCCCAACGGCTAATTTCCTGTGTGTCCATTGTCAATTATTCATTGTCCCCTAATTTTGAATAAAGACAATCGATCAAATTCAGTTTCCAAAAATATGAATTCTCATTTGAAACAATTTTAATATTACTTGTTCTCAAATTGATAAGTATATTTATTAAAATTTTTTATAAATTTTTTATTTTTAAAATATAAATAAAAATAAAAATAAAAAATATTAAATCTAAACAGTTTAGATTTAGAGGTAGGGGAGGCAACAACAAGAAGAAGAAGAAGAAGAAGAAGAAGAAGCCGCCAACAAGCACGCTCATCCTCTGGTCTAGACTCTAGTCTTGCTGATGCAAAATCAGAGACCGGCCACGTATGATTAGATATGCACCATCAAATTATATATATCTATATATTTTCAATTTTGTCGCTGCTGAAAAAGTTGACGATAATATATTAATGCATAATTACATTCATAGATGAGATAGGATCACGTGCTTCTCCCATCTAGATCTTTAGATTTTAACATTATGTGCGTGAGATGGTCTTATAACTGAAGCTTATTCTTGGTGACAGCCTGCCAGATTTGACAGAAGATAAAGGATGGTAGAAAATGATGAAAAAAACAAGAAGCTGGGAGAAAAAGAGAAGATAATTACGGTGATTCCAATTACAATAATCCATATCGCATTGTGTTGCTCAGTTACAATAATCCATATCGCATTTTCTGTTTAGTTTCTCAGTTACATTTACTCTGCATTGTGTTGCTCTTTTCTTTACCATGTTCTGCTTGTGTTGCATGCATCTCTGTTTACTTTTGCCCTTTCACCTTTTTTTCACTGCTGCTTTTGGTTTGTAGCCTGTGCTCTTCGCTATTCGGCCTTCAATGCAAATGAAGTGACAATTTTTCATGGTAAGGGGAAAAAAGGAAAGGAAGAAACTTCCAGCTGGCTGACGTAAATTATGCCAACAAATGTACAAGTTTTACGTCCAATTTAAGAATTGGATGAAATTTATTATAAAATAATATCCATTTAATCTCAATAAAATTTTATAAATAGATCTCCAAATCTGAAGTCCTTCACCAACCGAGACTAGATTTCTCCCCAAAAAAAAAAATGTTGACCATTTTACTTTTTTCGTTTTTATATTGCAAAACCATTCCTCACCACTTCTATGTATAATTATATGTAACTTTTGGAATCAGGTACTTAGCTCCACAACCAATTTGCATTGCATCACAGACATGGCGTTGCTTTTCATTCTCTTCTCATCTATCTTCCTCCTGTTTCTTATCTACAGAACAACACGAACAAGAGAAAATCTTCCACCAGGTCCTCCAGGTCTTCCTCTCATCGGCAATCTTTACCAGCTTATTGGCTCTGATCCACATCGCTACTTGTGGCATCTCTCCAAGCAATACGGTCCTCTCATGTTCCTGCGCTTTGGCATCAAGCCCACCATAGTTGTTTCCTCTGCCAGAATAGCCAGACAAGTCATGAAAACCCACGACCTTGTATTTGCTAGCAGACCCTCCATGCTTGGTCAACGGAAATTGTCGTACAATGGCTTAGACCTGGCTTTCACTCCCTACAGTGACTATTGGAGAGAAATGAGAAAATTGTGCGTCCTCCAACTGTTTAGCTCTCGGCGCATGCAGTCCTTTCGTCCCATACGAGAAGACGAGGTTGTGCGAATGATTCGAAAGGTATCTCAATCTGCTGCTTCTCACAGAGTGATCAACTTCAGCGAGACGTTGATGTCTTTCACAAGCACTTTAATTTGTAGGATTGCTTTCGGGAATAGGTATGATGTGAAAGATGAAGTGAGTGAGAGAAGCAGATTTCATGGACTGCTGAACCAAGCTCAGGCTTTGATGGCGGAATTCTTCTTCTCAGACTATGTGCCATGGTTGGGGTGGGTTGATAGACTCAGGGGGCTTCTCAGTCGATTGGATAAAACCTGCAAGCAGCTCGACATTTTCTACGAACATGTCATCAACAAGCACATGAATCCACAAAAAAACCTCAAACCGACCAACAAGACATCATTGATGTATTTCTTCAAATAATGAATGCTCCTTCAACGTCACTTGATCTCACTTTGGATCACATCAAAGCCGTGCTCATGGTAAAACTGTCCTTTTTTTCTGCACTCCATTGTAATATATTGTCTTTTTGTAAAGGTTATTAAGTTTCTCATGCGTGGATGCAGAATATATTTGTAGCGGGAACGGACACGAGTGCAGCGACTGTAGTTTGGGCGATGACCGCATTGATGAAGAATCCCAGAGTGATGAAAAAGGTACAAGATGAAATCAGAATGTTATGTGGCGAGAAAGATTTTACAAGTGAAGATGATATAGAAAGGCTTCCTTATTTCAAAGCGGTGGTGAAGGAGACTCTGAGACTGTTCTCACCTGTGCCCCTACTTGTGCCAAGAGAATCCATGGGAAGGTGCAACATAGAAGGGTACGAGATTGAACCAAGAACTCTAGTTTTGGTGAATGCATGGGCTATAGCAAGAGACCCGAAGACATGGGAAGAGCCAGAACGATTTTATCCAGAAAGATTTTTCAACTGTTCAGTTGACTACAAAGGGCATGATTTTGAGCTGATTCCATTTGGAGCTGGACGTAGGATTTGTCCCGGAATGCAAATGGGAGTAACCAACGTGGAGCTTGCACTTGCTAATCTTGTTCGATCTTTTGATTGGGAATTGCCTTTTGGTATGGTGGAGCAAGACATCGACACAGAGTGCATACCAGGAATAACCGTACACAAGAAAAATGATCTCTGCCTAGTCGCTAAGATCCACAAAACATAACTGACTGGGCATGTGCTTCTTATTTAAGATAACAATAACGCAATGTGTAATAATTAGGCCATGGAATTCCACAACTTTTGTTTGTTTTAGGGAGTTTTTAAATCCATGATTTTGTTTGGGAAACACCCATTAAATTTCAGGCCTATAAAAAAAAAAAAACGCATTGAACAACATTGCAAAATGAGATTGGGTCGCTTCGGTTGGGCTTGGGCCTCATGTTTGCTAGCCTTCTTTCTGCATTCAAGTTTTGGGATATGAGCTAAAGCAATATGACCCAATATGCTGGATAGTATATAATTGATTGAATATTCATCAAGTGGTTTTTGATATCAGATGAACTTTGATCCTCTTATGAAAAAAGCACGAGGAAGATAAAAATACATTCAAGTAATTTTGAAACCTAACTATCATTCTTCCAAATTTATGGATGGCATAAAACCTTAAGAAAAATTCTTCAAGGTGAATCTCAAATTATACTTTCATATCTACAATTTAGGTAATTATGCAAGTCCAACAAAGAATCAGATCCATTGAAATCCTTTTACATTCTTCAATAAAAAAAAATTCATTTAACATTAAAAAAAAAAACAGAACTGTTGCTAAGCTTCAGCAACTGAGTTAGCTTCTTATCTACCTTCGCTACATATCATATCTGTCTCTTTTTTACTGCTTCCTCATCTTCTCAGAGCCTGATTTATCAAAACAATAAATCTTATAGAATTAAAAAAATTAATGTTATATCTCACACACAGACAGACACACATACACACTCACACAGAGAGACAGGCAGGCGCGCGCGCGCGCACAGAGAGAGAGAGAGATCATAACTTACATCTCATTATATATAGGGTTAAAATCAAACTTCATTAATTCATAAATACATAATCACGCATAGATATTAATTAATATAGCAATATTGAGCCAAATAATTAAATATCGTCCAAAATCTTTTCAACTTTTATAGTTAACTCAGGTCACTTTATAATTAATTGACCATCTCAAACTACAAATGATGTGATCAATAATTCTCTCATTGTTCATATGTGCACAAATAGTATGACAAACATAACCATAGTAGTGATATTATTATTATTATTTTGAAGAGAAAGTATAGCACTTTAAACTAAATCACATGTTTCACAGGATTAGACGTTAAAAAAAAAAAATTGCAAAAGCATTGATGGTCCTGGCTGAGCAAATAATATGATGTAGGAAAGATGTTTCCTATAATTAATGTTGATGGATGATCATGAAGAGAAGACCAAAATTTAATTTATTGATGTGTGTTGCGGAAATGAAAAGGAAATTAGAAGGCAAATCACATTGTGTCGATGATTCCAATTTGGAAGGAAACAACGTGTATTATATATGAAATAGTTATTTTCTTACCAGCAGCCTCTCTACCAAAACAGTCGCAAATCGTCCTGATCCCCTTTCATTTCTTTTAACCTGATATTATACATCAAAGCAAATTAAGTATATGACAACGATTTACATACTTTTAGATATTTTATAAAACTACACATAAAACACCATACAAGACGAACTATATATCTATATGTATGTATATTGTTTGGCCTGAACATTTGCATTAGCTTCTTACTTGCTTTTTGCTTCCAATAGATCTCGTCTATTTGGAAGCTCAAGAGTTATACTGCTTCCCTCACCTTCGTCCATTGAAAGCCTAGTACATTCTGTTCATGAAATTTTCAAACAAGTTGCTCATCATTAAAAGAAATGTTCCATGAAAAAGAAAGTATGGATGAAGTCAAACTTTGATTTGCTCACCGCTAACATAATGTTTATGTATGAGTCATATAAAATCAGAATGTCACACTCACATAACACCTCACATTACATAGTGCAAAATGCCAATTTGATGTCACTATTTTCACACGTCACTTCCTTTTCCAACTAAAGTATAGTAATGACTATAGTGGCAATATTGTAAATTAATTGAATAATATATACTCTTATAAGAAAGCCACACTTGTGCAAAATGCCAATTTAATCATGTTTAGCAATTTACATCGTCACTTACTTTTATAACCTACGTCGTAAATGCAATTATGATGACATCAGTTATATAACAGAGGGGAAAATTAATATTATTTGCTACACTTATTTTTATTCAATACATCTAGTGAAGCGGAAATATCTATTTAACTAACACAGAATGTAGCATATTTGGACTAGTGAACTGAGCTTAACAAACTAACGAGAGACCTGTCAAATATAAAATGACCCCATGTGATAAGGATACATATTTTCATGTCACGCTTCATGCATATGCATCTAATTAAGCATAAATATTACATTATACTGAGCCAAATAAGGAAACACTGCTTTTGAATCTTGTCAATTCTTATAAGTTAAGAGCTCACCTTGTGATGCTTCCCAAGGATCATAATATTTGCCATGTATTTGTACAGTAGGAATATGAGCAATCTTGGACAAGTGTCGTCCTCTTTGAAAATCATACCTTTTAAGTAATTTAGGGCAACCAGAGATATTCAGCTCCAAAAGAGAGGATGGCAGCTCATCTTCTGGCAAGGATTCAAGCTGTGGACAGTCTGAGATGTAGAGCTCTTCTAAAGAAGTAATGCATCGAAGCCCTTTTCCATCTAACAATTTAAGATTGGAGAAATCGCATATGTCGATACGCATGAGAGAAGTGGGCAATAATTGATGCTTCAATAAATTACAGAGAATCCTTTCACTTCCATCACCTTTAACCTGAAGTCCTGAGAGAGAAGCCAACCGTTGGAAACCCCAGTCTTTTATAGGCACGGAAGATAGTCGCTCACAGTCGACAATGAAAAATGATTGCAAGTTAGAAGGCAAACCACATTGAGGCAATGATTCCAAATTGGAAGCTGAGAAAGAGAGAAGTATTTAAGGGTAGCGAGGGAATCAATCTGCACTTCTGACATTGATCTGAGTTGTTTGCAATCTGAGAGAACAAGAGATTCTAAGGTAGGAGAAGACCCCCCAACTTGTGTAAAGGTTACCAAATCACGACAACTTCAACCACCAAAATTTTAAGCATAGGAAAACAACCTAATAGAAAGGATGTCAAGGAATCACAACTATTTCTAATTAGCAAATATTCAAGTCTAGTGTAGTTTTGCCAAGATTCCTGAGGTGGGAGTTCTAATTTCCCACAATCTTCAATTTTAAGTCGTCGCAATGAAATGGGCAAACCATCAATTGTGAAGGACTCTATGGATGGGATACTTTTGAGATACAATTTTTGAAGGTATTGACAACCCGGCATCATTCTGGGCAAAAATTGCAAGTTGGAACAATTAATGATTCTTAGACGTTTCAATGAGTCTAGTGAATCATTTTCAATAGCCCTCAAGAATTCCTTTCCCCTTGGTTAACATTCAATTTTGGAATTGAAGTAATCCATTTCAATGCTAATAATTTAGCTCCCAACTGATTGCAGTGTAATATATCAACCTTTCTCAATGATGGAAGCTTGTTGGGCATGTCTCCCCTCAGCTTAGGACAATTATTCAAATGCAAATGTTTGAGACTATGAAAAGGAAATTTGGTACCCTCACCTTCAAATGGTAACCATTGCTCCCAAGCTAGCATATTTTCAAATTTTAGACTTTCCAATGACGGGAATGGATGAAATGGAGAGGACTTTGTTTGATTGCAATAGAACTCATGCCCAACTATCTTTACAGAAGTCATTTCTTGAATTGAAAGCTTTTTAAGAGAAGGTAATTGTCCCAATGGTGGAAGTGATGAGCAATCTTTGCAATTGCTTATGCATAAAAAGTAACATTTGTATATGAAGAATCTCCGACCCAATTTGGAAAGCTCCGGCCACCATATGGTTGATGGTCAATCTCTGTAACTTTGTTGAAGGTTGCATCATGTTAAGTACATTTTGCACTATTGTTGGTGAATACTGAGAATCACTATCCCATTCCAAAACTAACTCCTCAATTTTCTCTCTCATCTTCAAGTTTGCCTCAAAAGCATCAATGGGATCAAGCACATTTTGTAACTTCAAAATGGAAAGCTTACCTTCAAGATGAGGTAGCTTTTTTAACTCCCTAATTCTCAATCCATCTGATTGTTTTCCCACCACAAAAGTACTCATACTATGAAGATTTTGTAGTTTGGTGATTTGTGCCGGCATCTCCTTCAAAGCAGTGCCACTAATGTCCAAGTGACGTAGATTGATCAGCTTTTCTATGCTCCTAGGAAATTCATTGAAAGACTTGCAATATGATAAGGGCAAAGTTTGCAAATTGCAAAGTGTGAAGGTCGCATCAGGCAACCTTGTGATTTTGGTGTGGGAAAGATCAAGATATCGCAAATGTTGCAAATTGCCAATTGAATCAGGTAGCTCAGTGATGTTGGAATACATAGACAAAGACAATACTCTCAGACACTTTAGTTTTGGCAACAAATCATGTGAGACCTTTTTGCTCAAGACAAATGAATTTATAAATGCCCAAGTTTTTTGAGGTAGAAAAGTCCTCAAAGAATTTTGGTGATAAAAGACCTTAAACATTTTAAAACCATCATATCCTTGTCTAGGATACGATAAACGGCGAACATTTTTTGAAATTTTGTCTCCTTCTAACCAAAGACAACTGTTACCAGATACAACTCTGGCTAAATCAATGATGAGATCATGCATGATGAACTTTTCTGGATCACCTTCATGCTGTTGAATGAAGGATCTAGATAGTAATTCATTAAAGCAGTTATCTGATTCTATCTCCAATATCTTCCCTTGGGAGTATTGTTGTACAAAACCTTCAGCCATCCATAAAAAGACCAATTGCTTCCTATCCAATAAGTGATCTTTTGGAAAAATTGAGCAATAAGCAAAACATTTCTTTAAATGTGGGGAAGATAAACATAACTCAAATATAAAGAAGTTAAAACATCGTCACTTGGTATGTCCCACACATTACTATTTAGAATTTTACACCATTCCTTTTCATCCGCTTTTGAACGCAAGAGACCTCCAATTGATCTAGCAGCAATTGGTAGACCACAACATTTCCTTGCAATTTTCCTTCCAATTGCTTCTAGCTTTGGATGCTTCTTATGATCCTCAATTTTAAGGGCATGCTTGGCAATTAAAAACCAACAATTTTCATTTGAGAGAGTTGACAATTTATACGGAGGAAATGTATGTGTGATTTCAACAACTCTTTGTTGGCGAGTTGTGACAATGATTTTACTTCCCCCTTTTCCATTGCGAAAAGGAGAAACTAGATCATCCCAATCACTATATTTCTCATTCCATAAATCATCAAATACAATCAAAAACTTGTTATCCTTCAAGCTATTTTTCAGTTCAACTCGAAGGAAATCTAGATTTTTACTATTATAGGCTTTTGAAGTGACAGATTCTAGAATATTCTTGGTCACCTCAAAGGCATTGAAATCTTCTGAAACACATGCCCAAGCCTTCAAATCAAAATGCTTCTGCACTTCCTCGTCATTGTAAAGGAGTTGAGCAAGGGTAGTTTTACCTACCCCACCCATGCCCCAGATAGTGATCACTCCTATATCATTACCCTTTGCATTTTCATCACGCACAAGCATTTTCAACATTTTGTCCTTATCATCCTCTCTACCAACTACAACAGATTCATTTATTAATGAAGTAGTAGTTGTTTTATGAGCCCTCCGGCTAACACTTTGCAAATGAGGGAAATCCTTTTGTTCAGCGAAGTGTTTAAGCCTTCGGTAAATTGCTTCAAGCTTCATGTTCATGTCCCAGTAGCAATCACCAAAAGTATAAGAAAGGAAAGAGTGCACCTTATCAGCAACGCCTTCATCAGAATCTTGTTCCACCTGCCATCTGAGAGAGTCAGTGTTGATTTCATCTAATAAATCCTCTGCATCATAAGCGGCATCTTTCAACTCTTCAAGCCATTTCTTGACGGCAGGGCCAGTGATTTGCTTCTCTTCAGCATCATTGAGAATAGCATCAAGGATAATGAGAGTTATCTTCAGCTCATCCAAGAGTGAAACATTCAGGTTTCTATCCTTAACAAAATCTCGAAATTTACTTGAGGTGATAATGTCTAGTATGGTCTGGAAGGTCGGAGAGAGAAAGGCTCCTAGTACTGCTGCGTCCATGCTTTATCTTGGACAAGAACTCAGGTAATGAGGTGTGAGATATTTTGAGAGTGAGAAGAGTTTGATAAGTTGCAATGGATTTAAAGATGGTTTACATTGACTGTGAGAACAGTTGATTGGAAACTTAATTGACTTTGACTACTCTACTGGGATATTCTGGGAATACTATAAGGAGGAAGAGAGATAACTATTTGAAAAAGTCGTCACATGATTAAAGTTATCTTCAACTCATCCAAGAGAGAGACATTCAGCTTTCTATTCTTCATGTAAGTCTCGAAGCTCGCTTGAGGTGATCCTATCTAGTAAGGTCTTCACAGAAGCAGAGAGCAGTGCTTCTCCCACCACAGCAGCAAACTCCATGCCTTGTTTTGTTTCAGAACTCAAAGGTATTGCTTAGAAAATTGAGAGAGAAGAAAGTTTGATCGGCAGCGATACAGTGAAGCTAGTTTAGATTGACTGAGAGAATACTTTGACTACTTTGCGCGTTGGAATATTCTGGTTTAGACTGAAGGAGAGGGCAACAGCAACATCTCTGTTCTTTCTTGGAAAAGTCTACCTTTTTTTTTTAATGTTTAAATAGAAAGTTGCCAGAAAAGTTCACCATGTATAATATTAGAAGAAAAAAAGAAAAAAAAAAAACTAAATGAACACTAGACTATTGAAATTAGTCTTTCAATTCTATAGATCAAGTTTAATTCTGTTATTTTTTAAATTACAACTGAATCAAATTAAATTATGAGTTGTTTAGCCTAATTCTTTTCATAAAAGTTTAAATTCAATCTTATTCAGTTCTTTGTGTGCAGCCCTGATTTCAACATTACGAAATAATTTTCTAAGCTGTTTAGTTTATTAAACATGGATGGTCTTAAGAAGGACATGTATTTTCAATATGTAGGCCCATTCACAGTAACTTCTTCGTTCTTTCATGAAAGAGAGAGACTAACCAAAACCATTCATTTTTCCACATGGATCTTCTAACGGTATTGTTGAATGGAAAATATCAACGAGAGAGGATTTTAAATTTTTAAGATAATTTTTTTTTGTGGCTTTGCTAGATTTAATATGAGAATTGATAATTAAAAAATATCTTTATTTTATATTTAATGTATATTAAAATAATAAGTTACTTGAAATATTTAAAAATTAAATAAAATTTTGGTTGTTAAGAAATCAATTTACAGTCTAAATGGATGACGAACACCTTTTGCTAGAGTGAATTAAAAATTGTCAATGATGTCTCATGTTGACATACAATGGTGGAGATAAGTGGAGACTAGCAAAAGCTACAGGCACTCCTAACTTTTTAATTTTTTTCTCAATAAATTGTAATATTTATATATTTTTAGCTCCCTTTGATACTAATAAAATTTAACTTAAACTAAACTTTAATAATGACTTATTCAAGTGTTAAAAGATTATGGCTGCTAGGATGGTCTTCTAGAAAAAAGTTCTTTTTGTAACAACAAAACTATTGAAATTCTTGTTATGAATTGTGTTTTACTTTGATATAATTTGGTTTTGTTGATGAAAAGATTATCAATTATCATGTTGCTATATTTTATTTTTCCTAGATTAAAAATTAAAAGAATTAAATAATAGATTAACTGAGCAATTAGCAACATAACTTTTTAAATTGAGCACAGTTTTGAATCCTAAAGATACATTTGTAACATTCAATAGAAAGAACATCTACAATTTTATTGAGAAATTTTACTCTTCAATTTTTTTTTTACCAACAAAGATTTAATTAGAATATGAATTAAAACATTATGAGCTTGATATACTCAAAATTCAAAAATACCACTTTTCATAACTTGACTATTACGGGTGAATTGTATCCGAAGTTTTCAAGAGGATGGAAAGTTTAATTTTTATCGTTTGATTAACATATTACAAAGGCTTTACTAACTCTTTCATTGTCAATGACAACTTGAACGAGTTTTTTTAGCTATAATTTAAAATTATAAAAACAATGCTCCCAAAAAGATGGAAGATAAATTTTTTCACTAATTTGATTGTAGTTTATATTAAGAAAAACTTGTTGAAAATTTACCGCACACATGGTTATTGATACGTTTATGTTATGAATCGAGGAGCAATACTTAAAGAAAAGAAAATGCATGTTTATTTTAGTTATATATTTTTAAAATTGATTGTGAATATATTGAAGCATTTATGTTATGTTATGTTATACACCCACACACATAATTTTTCTTCAGTTATTGTACATGAATTGTAATTCGACCCCCTAAACAAAAAATCTTGAATCCGCTCTTGCTCACATGAAATGAATAATAATGATAATGATACAGTAGTCAATATCATTGGCTAGAAAATATTTATTATATATGAAGAATTTCATAATTCTAAATAATTTTCTAAACTGTTTAGTTGATTAAACATGCATGGTCCTAAGAAGAAGGACTTGTATTTTCAATATTGGGAGGCCATTCACAATAACTTCTTTGTTCTTTCGTGAAAGAGATTAACCAACAACCGTTCATTTTTTGCAAAAGTATCTTTTATTGGTATTATTGAATGAAACATATCAATGAGGGAGGATTTTAAATTTTAAGATACTTTCTTTTTTGTGGCGTTACTAGATTTAATATGAGAATTGATAATTAAAAAAATATCTTTGTTTTAGATTTAATGTAATTAAAATCATAAGCTACTAAAATATTTAAAAAATAAAATAAAATTTGGATTGTCAAGAAAACCAATCTAGACTTCAAATAGATGATAAACACCCCATGTAGAGCGAACACTATTGTAAAAATTTCAATACAACACTTCATACTTGTCTTTAAAAAAACGATAAAAAAGTAAGTTTTATAAATCAAAGGGTATTGATAATTTGTCTCTTAATATATTGAGTCAATTGATTAATTTATTGATTCAAAACTCAATTTGTCAATTAATTTTAATTCAATAGCTGGAATCCAATGAAGTAGAATAGATTTTTGGGAGAATGTCATTCAAGGCCACCACAAGAAAAAATATAGCACTTTGGGCTCATATAATTCTTAATCTTTTTTCTACAAGCCATATGATTGATTCAACAATGTTTTTTTGATGTAAAAAACCTAAAATACCCCTAATGCGTTCTTCCAAATCATCATTTATAAAAAATTCATGTTAACTTAAAAATTAACAAGTAAAAATACTAAATTGACAACAGAATATTTTAATTTAACATTAGGTCAGTCTTTAGTTGGATTAGTTGCATTTTTAAAATAGAATCCTAAGTTTCCCTAAAAAATTATATAACAAGCAAAAATTATGCCAATAACAACAAACGCATGGGGATTTTTAACAATTCAATCTTTGATTATTATAAATTGTATTTTTAAAATAAAATTTCAAGTTACCCTAATAAAAAAGTAACAAGTTAGGGTTCTACAAATAACATCTATACGTGGATTTTCACTTGTCAACATATGGATTTTGAGTAAATGATGACTTGAAAGAAAGTTGCCTGTCAAAATTTGAACATCATGTTGTCAATATATAAATACTTAGTTGTAAGTAATAGAACAACAAAATGCATTCATATCAAGGTATTTAGACCTTTTTCACATCCAAATATATTTCATTTAAGAGAGGAAGAAGAAGAAGAAGAAGAAGAATATAGGTTGTGTTAGTCGCTATTCAACATCATGAGGATCATTAGTTTTAATGGTATGCTCAACTAAAAGCAAAGACCTCATCAATCAATCCATGACTAGTGCAAGTGTCGTTTCAAAAAAAAAAAAAAATCTTCAAAAATGACATTTAAAAACCCTCTAAAAATATTAATTATAATTAAGATGTTAACGTCTGATCTGTGAGAGGGAAAGACTCAAAACACACTTGAAAACATGAAGCGGCTCTTGAAACAAAAATAAAATTTTATTACAGACTCAAATATAATTGCTCTAAACTACTAAACTTTTTACTTTAATTTTCTTTTCTTTTTGGTGTCACTCTTCTTTCTTTCATCGTTTTCTTTCCTCTCTTCTCCTTTTTACCCATGCCCTCACGGCAAGAGAATTGAAAATACTAGCAAGAGAGATAAAAACGGATTAATTTGTCTTTTATTATATTGCTTAGACTATGAATAAGAGGTTTAGATTGAGTAACATAAATCCATTGAGTTGATGGATTTTTTACTTATCATAATAATAACTATTCGACTAAATTGAACAATTATAAATATTATGTGTCATGTGATACTTAAAAAGTATTAAATTGTATGCAATTCCTTCAATAGGTATCTTATATGTCACGATAATAATCATTCGATATTTAGAAAGTCATAAATTTCAAAATTTTGCAAACAATGTAGTCGAAGAATGGTTTGATTGAGAGGGTTAATTTTAATTTTTAAAAGAAATATATCTTAATAATTTAGTTCAACAATTAAAGGGAAAAAAGGGCATATGGTAGTGGTTATGTTGACTTGAAGTTTCTAATAGTGATTTGATTATATTAAGTTTAAAACACTGTGACAGTGTCTGTGTGTGAGATGAGTGTGTAAATAAATATAGTTAGCTAAAATGAGAGAGAGAAGATGGAAGAGAGAGAATCATGCACCACAAAAATTATCCTGATTCAATCTCCTAACCTACCTCCAGTTCTCTTGAGAAGCGGTCAAGAGATTTTCCCACTATAAAAATCCAATTACAACCCCTATAAGTTCTACAACGAGCTCAATTACAACTCTGACAAAGCCTTTTACAGAACTCACCAAGAATTAATCAGCATACATGATTTACACACCCACCTAAAACTAAAAAACAAATGTAAAAAAGTAGTCACTAGAAATTGCTCTTGAAAAGCTAGGAGCAAAAACATTCTAAGCACTCAAATACTTAAATTTCAACAATGATATTTAGGAAGTATGTTATAATTAGCTAGGATGAATAATAATTTGCTTGCATCTCCAAATTAAATCCTTCATCTTTTTGCAAATCATTCATCAACATCAATTTTCTCTTCATATTTCGTCATGGTCGACTTTCCTTCTTTTTTTGATGATTAATTTCCTCTATGATCATTGTCAATTCTTCGTTGTTCCTGATTTTGCAATAAAGACAATCAATCAGGATTCAATTTCTTGAAATATCAATTTTATTTGAAATAATTTTAATATTATTTGTTTTCATCAAAACTAATAACCAAATATTGGCTCAAAGCCAGAGGTTGACTTCTTAACACATTGGAATTAATAAATTAAACAATGAGACTCATGGAGGCCAAATATTTTCTCATTTACCTTGAAATACCTGGAAGATCTTTGTATCACAAAATCTTCAATGACAAAGGAATATCAGTAAAAGTCTGCAAACAATATATTTAAAGGAGTATTGTTAAGAAAACATTCTTAGTTACAAATTTCAGATATATATATATATATATATATATGAATTAATAGAGGGTTCATTACTTTCTTACCAACTCTCAATTTTAGCTCATCCACACAACAATACACATCCATTTTCTGACACTATCTTACTGATTTTAAGACACTCTTTTAACATACCAAAATAAGCATCTAAGGATTAAGGTGGGGAATTATTCAATCGAGAGAGATCTCCAGGTAAATTAAAAGTGTGTCAATTAAGTCACTAATCTCAATAAACTGAACTATGTATGTAATACTAAATCTAGATATCATACCTTTGTTGTCCTTATTGTTGCAGAAGTAACATAGAAATGATGATTCAATTCAACCACATGACAATTGAGAAAGCTGAATAAGGAAAACATCATAAATCAAATTTTCTACCCAACACATAAAATGAGCATCAAAGGAACACTTTTTGAACACTATCATGGTTTTGCTAAAGTGGAAAATATATATATATATATATTATATTTCTAAAATTATCATCTTTAGGTATATGCTCATTGATCAATTGTTCTGATTAATATTATATAAAGGAGATAAACTAGTGACTCGAACTAATTTTTTACCTGCCTTCCTTGTTTCCATATGACTCTGTTCTTTAAAACACAGCAATTCTATTGATGTCCTCACCTCTATATTTTGACATGAATTACCCAAACAGAATATCAAATTAGATTTGACAACACTATGAACTTTCAATCCCAATAATAATTAAAAAAAAAGTGGTAAGTATTACCTGACATGTGACGGTTTTCAATAGACTCGTGGCCATTGCTCTGGTTATTCAAAGCCAATAATATCTGCTTAATGAAATTTTAGAATAAGTCATCAAAAAAAAAGGGCAATATCCTAGAAAAGGAAAAATATTTTGTCAAACTTTAGATTTATGCTTTATATGTAATGTGAGAATATAAAAATAAGATATTTGTAGTCACTTGAAATTTCATATAATGATTATATTAAATTAAAAAACATTGGATTAGTGTATTATTCCGAAATAATTAAGCCTCAACTAGATCAAGATCATCCTTTACCTTGAAATATCAATGTTGGAAGGTTCTATATATGTCACAAAATCCCAGAGGACTAAGGTATTAAAGTGAAAGTCTACAAAATATTTAACTCATTAAAAAAATATTAGGAAAAGAAAAAATATTTAACAAAATAAATTTGAAAAGTAGAACCCATCATAAAATGTGTTGCATGTGTTTTGTGTGCGTGCGTGTGTGTACAATATATAATCGATTCAGAATTTCAAGAATACGAAGAGAGGATTAGTTAATTCATTTCTTACAAGCTCTTGAATCATTTTGTGCTGAAAACGGAGCAATTCTTCTGAACTCCTTTCATATTTTCTAACTTGACAATATAAAAGCAAAGAATCAGATCATGCTTTTAGATGTTTTTGTAAGAAAAATTAATTGAACATTAAAAAAGAGTGAAAAAAACCAGAACTGCTTCTTAGCCTCAACAACATGGGTTAGCTTATTGCCTACCTTCCCTGCATGCATATCATATATGTCTCTTTTTGACTGCTTCCTCCTCTTCTCTAACCTGATTTATCAAAACATGATAAAATGATCAGAAATTAATATTTCTTAACAAATACACACACAGTCACTTCATTCATAAATATCTAATCAAGCATAGATATTAAATATGCTATATGGAGCCAAATAATTTTAAATATAGCTCTAAATCATTTCAACTTTTATAATTAGTACTCATGTCAATAGTCACTTGATGATTGATTGACCATTTCAAACTAAAAATGACATCATTGATAATTCTCTCTTATTCTTTTATCTTCAGATGTGCATAAACAGTATAGCCAATTGCTTATTCAAAGGAAAAGCTACAATAACAAGTTGGCAAACCATGATTTGATTTTTAAAAAAATGAAAGATAGAAAGGTGAAACATGCTAGCTATAACACTGTAAATCTTATATTATAATTACCATGCATATTAGTGACATTGGTTGGAATATGAAAGCTCACCATTTGAAGCAATGCACTATCGCAAGGATCATAGAATTCACCATTAATTCTTATGGTTGGAATATGAGAGATCTTGGACAAATGTTTTCCTCCTTTAAAATTATATCTTTCTTCTAATTTAGGACACCCAACGATATCTAGCAAAAGAAGAGAGGGTGGTAGCACATCTTCTAGCAAGGATTCAAGGTTTGAACAGTTCCAGATGGTGAGCTCTTCAAGAGATGTGAGGTGTCGAAGCCCTTTTCTATCTAACCGTTTAAGATTAGAGAAATCATATATGTAGATATACACAAGAGACTTGGGTAGTAGTTGATTGTTTAGTAAATTATGGAGTATAGTTTCACTTCCATCACCTTCAATATGCAATGTTGAGAGAGAAGTCAACTGTTGAAAACCCCAATCTTCAATTGGTATACTAGAGAGTCCCTCACAGCCACTAACTTCAAAAATTGTAAATTAGAAGGCAACCATAGTGAGGCAAAGATTCCAAATTTGGAAGCCTTATTAGAATAAAAAGATTGAAGGTTGGCAAGGGAATCAATGTGTACTTCTGACATTGACCTAAGGTTTTTGCAATCTTTGACCTGAAAGGATTCTAAGGGAAGAGCAGACCCCCCAACATATATAAAGGTCTCTAAATTATGACAATTGCTATGCCAAGCCTTTTAAGCTTGGGAAAACAACCTAATGAAAAGGATGTCAAGGAATGGCAACTGTTATGAATATTCAAGTCTTTAAGTGATGTGAAGGTTTGCCAAGATTCCGGAGATAGGAACTCTAATTTCTCACAATTTTCAATTTTAAGTTGCTGCAAAGAAGTGGGCAAACCATCAATTGGGAAGGACAAGGTTAATGGGATATCTATGAGAGACAACTTTACAAGAAAATAGCTACCCATTATCATTTTTGGCAAAGACCGCAAGCTATCACACTTCTCAATTCTTAGATATTTCAAAGAATCCAAAGAACAATTATCAAGATCTCTCAATAACCCATGTTCCCCTTGCTTAATGTATAATTTTTCAATAGATCCAATCCATTGCAAATCTGTTGATTTTGCCTCCAACCGTTTGCAGTTTGAGATAAAAACCTTTGTCAATGATGGAAGGTTGTCGGGCATGTCTCCTTTCAACATTGGACAATCATATAAACCCAAATGTCTAAGATAACGAAAAGGAAATTTGGCACCTTCACCATCAAACAATGTCCATTCCTCCCAATAGGCATATCTCTAAATTCTAGAATTTCTAGGGATGGAAATGGGTGAAATGAAGAGGCCTCTCCTCTACTGCAATAGAATTCTTGTCGACTATTTGCATTAATGCCATCCTTATAATCAAGAGCTCTTTGAGCAAAGGTAATTGTCCAAATGATGGGAGTGACAAGCAATACTTGCAATCACTCACTAATAAAAATGTAATATTCATGAATGAAGAATCTGCCACCCAATCTGAAAAAGTTAGTGCCACCATAATTGTTGATAGTCAATCTTTGTATATTTGTTGAAGGTTGTAGCATGCTGAGTACATTTTTCACAGTTTCTGAATCTTGAGCATCACAATTCCATTCCAACTCTAGCTCCTCAATTTTGTCCTTGCTCTTTAAGTTTGCTACCAAAGCATCCATTGAGTCAACAACATTTTCTAGTCTCGAGAGGGAAAGCTTACCTTGCAAATGAGGGAGCATGTTTAACTCTTTAATCCCCAATCCATTTGGTTGTTTGCCCACCATAAAATTACTCAAATTATGAAGATTTTGTAGCTTACTAATTTGTGCAGGCATCCCTTTCAAAGCAGTGCCACTGATGTCTAGGTGACGTAAATTAATAAGCTTTTCTATCTTTCCTGGAATTTCGTTAAAACACATGCAATTTGATAAAAGTAAAGTCTGCAAATTGTAAAGTGTAAAGACTGCATTAGGCAACCTACCAATTGAAGTGTAAGAAAGGTTGAGATAACGCAACTGTTGCAAAGTACCAATTATATTCGGTACCTCAATGATATTTTTATACCTTGAGAAAGATAGTACTCTTAGACATCTTAATTTTGCCAACAAATCCTGTGGCACCTTTTTGGCCAAATAACATGATGGACTCCCACTAAATTCAGATTGTGAGAGAAGAGTCCTCAAACAATTTAGATAGAAGAAGCTCTCAAAATTTTTTGAGCCATTATATGATTTTTGGGGATATGATAAATGGCGAGTTGTTTTTGAGATTTCGTTACCCTCAAATTGAAGACAACTCTTGCCAGACACAAATTTGGCTAAATCGTTGATGAGATCATGCATAATGAACTTTCTTGGATTTCCTTTCACTTGTTGAATGAGTGACCTTGACAACAATTCATTAAAATTGTCATTTGCTTCTGTTTCTAGCGCTTTCTCCCCGTGGGAGTTTTGTTGTATAAAGCTTTCAGCCATCCATAGCAAGACCAATTTCTTTTCTTCAACAAAAGATCTTTCGGAAAAATTGAGCAATAAGCAAAACATTTCTTCAAATGTGATGGAAGATAGACATAACTCAAATGTAGAGCAGGTAGAACGTCATCATTTGGTATGTCCCATTGGTTGCTATTCAAATTTTATTCCATTCTTTTACATCCACTTTTGAACGCAAAAGACCTCCATTGTTTTGGCAGCAATAGGTAGGCCATCACATTTTCTTGCAATTTTCTTGCCAACTGCTTCTAGCTCTAGATGCTTATTAAGATCTTCATTTCTAAGTGCATGATTGGATATTAAACACCAACAATTATCATCTGAGAGGGGACTCAATTCATGTACAGGAAAGGTATGTGTGATTTCAGCAACTCTTTTTTGGCGAGTTGTTACGACGATTCTGCTTCCCCTTCTTCCACTATGAAATGGGGTTACAAGGTCATCCCAATGGCTATATTTCTCATTCCATAGGTCATCCAATACAATCAAAAACTTTTTATTGCTCAAGCTATTTCTTAATTCAACACGAAGGAATCTAGATTTTTACTGTCATAGACTCTTGAAGTGACGGACTCAAGAAGATTCTTTGTCACCTCCAAAACATTAAAATCATCTGAAACACATGCCCAAGCCTTCAAATCGAAATGCTCCTGCACCTTCTCATCATTGTAAATGAGTTGAGCAAGGGTGGTTTTCCCCAACCCTCCCATACCCCAGATAGTGATCACTCCTATGTCATTACCCTTTACATCTTCGTCAAACAAAAGCATTGTCATTAGTTTGTCCTTATCATCCTCTCTACCAACCACATCGGATTCATTTACCAATGAAGTTGAAGGTGTTTTATGCACTCTCAAGCTAACACTTTGCAAACCAAGGATATCCTTCTGTTTTGCAAAGTGTTTAAGCCTTTGGGATGTTGCTACCAGCTTGGAGTTCATCCTCCTGTTAAATTCACCAAAAGAAGAAGAGAAGAAGGATCGCACCTTGTTAGCGACGTTTTGAGAATCTTGCTCAATCTTGCATCTGAGAGACTCAGTGTTGATCTCATCCAGTAAATCCTCAGCATCATAGACAGCATCTTTCAACTCTTCAAGCCACTTCTTGACTGCATGATTGGTGATATGCTTCTGCTCTGCATCGTTAAGAACAGCATCAAGCATCAGCAGAGTTGTCTTTATCTCATCCAAGAGAGAGACATTCAGCTTTCTATTCTTCATGAAATCTCGAAACTCGCTTGAGTTGATCCGATCTAGTAAGGTCTGCACCGAAGCAGATAGCAAAGCTTCTCCCACCTTGGCAGCGAACTCCATGCCTTGTTTTGTTTCAGAACTTAAAGGTATCGCTTTGATGATTGAGAGTGAAGAGAGTTTTAGAGTGAAGCTGGTTTGAATTGATTGAGACAATACTTTGACTACTTCGCGTGTCGGAATAATCTGTCTTAGATTGAAGGAGAAGGCAATTTCAAGGACGATAAGGTAGGCGATTCCACAGCAATATCTCTGTTCTTTATTGGAAAAGTCTAAACTGTTACGGAGGATTTCAAAATTCTGAAATAATTTCCTAAACGGTTTAGTTGATTAAACATGCATGATCCTAGGAAGGACATGTATTTTCAAAATTGGTAGGCGATTTATAATAATTTATTTGTTCTTACATGAAAGATACTAACCAACAACCATTCATTTTTCCACAAGTATCTTTTAGTGTGGTATTGTTGAATGGAAAATATCAATGAGGGAGGATTTTAAATTTTAAGGTACTTTCTTTTTCGTGACTTTGCTAGATTTCATATGTTGATAATTAAAAATCATCTTTATTTTAAATTTAATATATATTAAAATTAACAGTTACTTAAAATATTCAAATATATATATATAATTTGAATTGTCAAGAAACCAATTTAGACAATTCAAACGGATGATGAACAATTCATGATATATTACAAAAATTGTCAAATGTGATGCATAATACTTGTCATTTATTTTCAAATGGACTCCATGTGTGGACAATCACACAGGATTTGAATCCTCTCTTCTCCATATTCTCTCTCAATACATCCTTTTATTTTCTATCTCATCCATCCATTTAATTATTTTTTGATTTAAAGATGTGAGATTGTCAATTATGACATTAAAATAAATAGATTATTTGCTATCATCACTTAAATGCATTTAAAAATAAGTTCATAATGTTTATTTATAATAATAATTAAATGACTAGTATATATATTTCAATGTCGTAATTAGGAATTTAATGCCATTAGATCAAATGAATAATATATGAATGAGATTGGGCATGAAGGGGTGCACTATTAACTTATGAATAGTAGTAGAAATCAATAGATATAACTTTGATATATGATTTGTTTGTTTATATTAATTTTAAGAAATGTTTATTTTATTGATAATTATAATTGATCCTGTCAATAATAGATCCCACATATTTAGATATTGTTTGGCCAATTTGCTCGAGCGGGTCTTTCATTTTCAGAATATACTTGTGCAAGGCAAGGGTTAACATACTAGCTTGACAAATAAGACATACTCTTCACATATTATGACAATGTACAATTTCTGTACATTTTAATCAATCAATTTGTTTAAAATAAGAATCTGAGTGAGAGGAGGGGGGGGGGATGAGACCATGACGGTGGTTCAGATTCAAATTTGAATCCTGCGCATCCTCTCCCCAAGCATGAAACCATACCACAATTTTCATAAGTAGTATTATTCACAACGCGCGCGCTCATAAAAATTAACAAAGGAAAAGAAAAACTCAAGTAACAAGCCTTTTACAAACCCAAACAAAAAAAAGTCTTTGAAATTAACCTCTAAGAAAGAAAATCCTTAAAAAAGAAAAAGTTAATACCCATAGGAGCTTCTCATAAATCAACTCCCAAAGGCTGAATAAAACAGAGATGATAACACTTTGATAATAGAAGATCAGAGAACGCCAAGCAGAGAATTGGTTTGGATGCACTTGCCTGGAGAATTGGTCTTCAAAGCTTCTCGTTGCTTTGAGAGTTTCAATTCCGAAAGCCTATTTTTACTTCCATTGATCAGCCAAAAAGCTAAAAAACCTGCCACCTGAAGAATAATAAAGACAATATAATAAATCAATTTGCAACTCGACACGTGGTCAAACATGCCCATGAAAATATGGTATGTGTTCATTTCAGTTCGTTACAATAATTATATTTACAGTACTTGGTAGGATTGGACATAGTAATTGGTAAATTACATGAAAAACAATCAGTTTCTGACAGACGAATAAAATCGCCCTTTGGCCAACTAAAATAGCCAATAAAATCCAATTGTTCCAACTATGCTATTAAATAAACATTGAATTAAACATCAGCTCAATGTTAATTTTTTGGCATAAGTCTTATAAAATCATCATAGCCAAACTTAATAATAAGCATTACCCAACTTATTTCTTTACAAACATAACGAAACTCAAGACTCATCATTATAAAATGAATCCCAAAGGTGACCGGTATGAAATCACATATTTTACAAGATAACAAGTGATATAAACATAACTTTCATCTCTAAGTTTTTTTTTTTTTTTTTTAAGTATCACTGAAGCATTGGAAGCCCTGGTTTGGGAAATTTAAAAGTTCTGCTATACGACGTCGTATAGAGAAGATTTAGTCTTATTTGATCGATGCAATGCTCATCAACAAGGAAATGCCAAAATTTTCATGAGACAGGTGGAATGAAAAAGAAAGAATTAAGTACTTAACTTGTTGATAATTATTAAAATAATTAATTATTTCAAACTTTCACAGCG